AATTATTAACCCCCCTTTGAATTTTTAATTTTTAAATATTTACCAAATGATGTTTAACAGAGCAAGGAAATTTTCACAGTATGTCTGATAATATTTTCTCTTCTGGACAAAGTCTTATTTGTTTTATTTCAGCTAGAATAAAAGCAGTTTTTAATAATAAAAAAAACATTTTAAGGACAATATAAGTAGCCCTTTTAGCTTTATTTTTTTCTATAGTCTACAGAAAAAAATATAATTATACAATTACTTGCCTAATTACCCTAACCTGCCTAGTTAACCTAATTAACCTAGTTGAGCCTTTAAGGGTGTACTCACACTATCTACAGTTGCCTTGAACCGGGCCAAAGCATGCTTGTCCCCCCTTCCGTCTCCCCTGACGGCCCGCACTCACATTACATTCGGGCCTGGGTACGCTTGCGTCATTGATGCACTGGTCAGAAGCGCTCTCGCTCAGCACAGTGGAGATTTCTTTAGTTATATATATATATCGTTTGGGATGCGGTGACGCGCAGTCAGATATTTCGCTGAACAGATCAGCCACTTTTAACACTCATAAACAATCATAAAGCCCTCGTGCTGCAGGAATGAGGAGGTTTGCTGAAGGTGCAGCTGTGGTGCAGTGAGGGGTTTGCGTCTTTAATAATCTATGACAGTTTGCGTTCATTGAACAGTAAGAATGATTAATAAACTCATATGAAACAGTCCCTCAAAAGTCACATCTCGGTTTCAGTTTCAGGCTTTGGCACATTTTACACTCACCCACAAGCGTACCACGCCAAAGCCCAAGTGAACCGCGATCAGGCACACCTCTTCTAACCGGGCCAGGGCCCGATTCAGAGCAATCACACTTGTAAAACAATCTGGGAAACAGGCCTTGGCACGGTTCGGATATCCCAGTGTAAGTACGGCCTAAATTTCACTTTAAGCTGTATAGAAGTCTTGAACAGAAGTCTTGTATAGAAGTATGAACTGTCTTGAAAAATATGTAGTCAAATATTATTAACTGTGATAAGGCAAAGATAAAATTAATCAGTTATTAAAAAATTAATTATTAAAACTATTATGATTAGAAATGTGTTGAAAATAAGCTTCTCTCTGTTAAACAGAAATTGTGGAAAAAATAAACAGCGGGGCTAATAATTCTGACTTCAACTGTATGTTCTTGTTCTTCTGACTTCAACTGTATGTTCAATGTAGTTGAAAATATGAGATACATTTTCCAGAGTATATTGAAAATAAATCTCTTGTGACAAAGTATAATTTAACTAGAAATTAAAATGGTCGTGCCCAACTGAGTCTGGTTCTCTCAAGGTTTTTTTTCTTCACTCCCATCAGGTGAAGTTTTTTTTCCCTCTCCGCTGTCGCCACTGCCTCGCATGGTTCAGGATTGGTAGAGCTACGCATCGATGAATTTGCTCTTCAGTGTTTGAACTCTCAGTAATGATTAAATCACACTGAACAGAGCTAAACTGAACTGAACTGAACTTAAACACTAAAACCTGAACCACACTGTTCCAGTTACTATGACCATTTATGTGAAGCTGCTTTGACACAATCTACATTGTAAAAGCGCTATACAAATAAAGCTGAATTGAATTGAATTGAACTAGAAAATATTAAAGATATGCTTATCTTTATCTAAATGCAGGTGATAAGATTGCCCAACAATTTCAGAAGTTCCTCTTCAGTGAAAAGAGGAATTCATGACTTTCAGTGCATTGGATGGAAAATCGCGAGTTGACAGCTTCCTGCATAGTGCCATAAATGGATATGCAGAACTTTGGAGCTTTGTGGAAAAGCTGCTGCTTCTGTCCCATGGACAAGCTACTGTCGAGCGTGGGTTCTCCATAAACAAGGAGGTGGAGATGTGCAACATGAACGAAGACACTATGGTCTCACAGAGACTAATCTGCGACAATGTGAGGGTGTGTGGTGGAGTGGTCAAAGTGCCTCTAACTAAAGAGCTGCTAAATGAGTGTGCATCTGCACGCACCCGGTACAGGATCTTCTTGAAAGATGAGAGGAAGAAAAAGGAAAAGACAAAACAGATGAACAAAAGAAAAGGGGTTGAAGATGAGCTTGAAGAGCTACACAAGAAAAGAAAAACAATCTCAAGTGTGTGTGTGAAACTCTAGAAAAGGAAGCAGATGGCCTTGCAGAGAAGGCTAAGAATACAGCACGGAACATGATGGCAGAACTTATCACTAAATCTAATTCCATGAGAAAAAGATGCAAGGAAAAGAGAAGGAAGTTGGTAGACCTAGACCATGAAATTGAGAAGAGAGCAGCAGAGCTACGCCACATGTCTTGAGGAGTAATTGGGATGTTACAAAACAAAGGTTTTCTTTCGTTAAGTCACGTAATAACATTTGTGTTTTCTAACAGTTATGTAGATTATTTGTCAACATTTTGGCTTGTGAAAGGCTGTTTTGAGGACTTTCATTATTGAGCTTATTTTCAGTTTTCTATTCTATATGGTTCCTTCATACAAGGCATTGTGTTTAGTGTAATACAATTTATCTGTTATGTTGGCTCTGTTCTACATCACAAAAGAACAATAAAAATAAAAAGGTCTCAAAGAAAAGTATTTTTACTTTTTTTTTTTTTTACTCACTGAATTTACACATTGCACATAATTGATACCAAATAGAAAACTTTCAAATTTTGATTTCATTGTTGGAGGCAATAAATTGAGTAGCCTATTCCAAAGTAATTATGAAATTTTTGAGTCTTAAATCATATTTGTTGAGGTCTTAAAAAGGTCTTAAAAAGCATAAAATTTGACTTTTAAATGGTGCAAGAACCCTGTACTAATTCATCCGCCATTATGACTAATTATAAACTTAATACAAACGCAGCAGCTAAATCAAACTACTAAAATTGTTTCTTTCCTTCCAAGAATTCATATACTCCACCAGAAGGACTTCAATTGCTGTACCTTTAACCTTCAGATCAGGGGTCTCAAACTCGCGGCCCGCGGGCCATTTGCGGCCCTCAGTGCAATATTTTGTGGCCCGCGCCGACCGCTGTACACTGACAGAATCAGCGGAGCGGGGAGAGAGAGGCTCCGCTCCGCTCCGCTGATTCTATCCGTACACAGCGGTCACTGACATTCCCCGCCCGCCGTGTAAACAAAGGGGCGGGGATGCCGGTGACGTCACCACGTACCCCGCCCCTTTGTTAGACGCTGTGTCGGGCGGGAAGTGTAAAGGCTGATTTATACTTCTGCGTCAAACACCGGCGTATGCTACGGCGCTGAGCCGACGAGTCTGGGCGGGACCGAGTGCCGCGCGAATGGCGCAAGTGATTGTTTACAAGTGTGGAGTCCCGTGAAGGAGCTCCGGATGGAAAGTTTTGTTCTGTGTTTACCTCATGGTTAAAGTTGTTGCACGTCCGCCGGTTCCTGCCTCAAAATGGGCCATCGCCGTCACTGACGTGCACCTCTCAAAAATTGTAACTACACGTCGCAACAAAGCGTAGCGCAAGCTCTGTGATTGGTCGGCTTGCTAGCGCCGACGAGTCTGGGCGGGACCGAGAGCCATGCGAATGGCGCGAGCGATTGTTTACAAGTGTGGAGTCCCGTGAAGGAGCTCCGGATGGAAAGTTTTGTTCTGTGTTTACCTCATGGTTAAAGTTGTTGCACGTCCGCCGGTTCCTGCCTCAAAATGAGCGAGTTTGAGTCACTTGTACATCCAGGAAGTGTTCAGAATAGCAAAACAGAAGCGAAGAAACTCGACACAGAGGAACATTTACACCTCACTGCCCACTAGTGTTTCGGAAGTGTTAATGCAGACCAACAGAGACAGCGCGAGAAGTATTAATGCACAGCCACACGCGTTGCCTGCGCAGTGGGTTACGCCGGTCACCTGACGCAGAAGTATAAATCAGGCTTTAGGAGGGAACTCGCGCCGGCCAGGACCAAGGTAAGCTGTTCCCACCCCTGCCTGCCACTTAGCTACCTATCTGCAGCCTGCCACCTACCTAACTACAGCCTGCATCTTATATATATATTATAGGTAGATACAGACTGGTACAGACTGATGTGACTGGAGTGGGGTGGGGAAGTTTTATTTATACATATATACGCCTTTTTTTAGGTGAGGGAATAGAAGTTTTGAGTGAGTTCCCCCAAGCCATACTGAGGGTCTCAACTGCTTCCGCTCTAAAGCCAAATGTGGTTCAGATTTGTGAGAAGAAGCGGTCTCTGGCAGCAAGGAGTAAGCAAAAGATGCCTTGTTCAGAAGAACTGTTCATAATCTTCACTCAATGTTCTATTAATGTTCAGGACACTTCATGTTCAGAAGAAATAATTAAAACTGTTAATAATGACATTTGAGGACTTTTTTTTTTGGTGAAATCCCCAGCCTTACCCAGACTTTGCCTCCTGCGGCCCCCAGGTAAATTGAGTTTGAGACCCCTGCTTTAGATCATGCTTCAGATTGTCTGTGTGGCTGGCTTAATTTCCTTTACAGAATCGATGCAGCAGTTTTGCACATCTGTTCTCTTCGTTCTTACAAGCAGACTTTTGACTAAATATACGTTTATATGTTTATGTTATATGTTTAAATATATGTTTACTGAATTTTTAAACAGCATAATATTAAACTCCAGTCAAAAAACAGTGTTGCTCCGTTTTTCTTTCTTTTTCTTTCCTAATTCATATTATAACTTAAACAGTCCAATAAGGGCGGAGCAAACCATTACAAACAAAAGAGTAGGGGTGAAATCAACAAATGTACACAACTAAACATATCAACATTTGTAAACTGTACATGAAACAGTGCACTTTTAATAAATTATATTAAATCAAATTATGGCTCTTACACTGAAACTCCCCTTTTATAGTAATTGTGGCCTTTTTAAAATCTTAAATATTCATTCTGCCTTTTAGAGTGTTTTATCTACCCTCTGAAATAAAGGTAGGTTTTGCACATACCCGCCACTTCCACATGACACTGTTGCAAAGAAGTGCGACCACCACTTCCACCTGATGTTGTTGCATAAATATCACTCATTTCTGCAATGATGTTGCGTGTCGTGAGATGCAGTTTTCTATTGGTCCTGATCTGTTTAAGATCCTTACGGGCAGCCACAAATTTGAAAGGTAGGAAAATGTATGTTTATATGTTTTGCTTTCCAGATTAACATTTCATTTTAATTTAATTTAATTTTTTGGTAACACTCACACTAAAGTAATGGACCATTATTTAATGCTAGTTAATGTATTTAATACATAAACAAGCTATTAGTAATGCATTTATTATGGTATTTATTCATTTTTGTTAATGTTATTTAAGTTAAATAAAATTTGTTTAATTTCCATTAGTTATATTCCTATAGTAGACACTTTTAGTAAAAAAATATGTTTTAGAAGAAAAGTTTGATTAAAAAAAAAAAATAAAATCACTAACAAGCTTTGTAAAATTCATTAGAGAATGTACAGCATGTGTTTGTTTTCTCAATAACAATGCTCAACCGCTGCTTGTTTTCAAACAGTTACACAGATAACTAGAGCTTGTGGGAAACACATCAGCATTGAGTGCACTACACATAAAAGCTCGCAGAATGGTGTGTACATGTACAAACAAGAAAGAGCAAGAGAACCACAGGAAATCTTCTACTTTTACCAAGAAACCCCTCAGTCAATCACTCTAACCTATAAACAAATGAACAATAAAGTCATTGTAAGTGGAGTATTACCCAATCTTAACGTCACCATCTTAAATGTAACTGTCACCGACACTGGATTTTACTGGTGTGAGTTTAATTTGGATGAAAAAATCACTCTTGGCAATATCACTTGGTTATTGATAGGTAAGTATTAAGTCTTATGTTTAAATGTAATTATTATATAAATGTTTACGAATATAGACATATTGTTTCAACTTCGCTAAATGTTTGTTTAAAGGCAAAAGTAAAATTAGTTTAAGATTAATATTCAATGGAGTAAATATATTAAAGCTATAATTCTCTTATTTTTGTGTTCCGTCATGAAAAATCACTAGAAGAAAATCAAGGGGGAAATGCTGTTAACAAATCTAAAGAAATCGGAAAAGAATGCACAGAAGATGCTATTCCACATGTAAAGATCATCCTCATTTTGTGTACTGCAATGTCTCTAGTCTGCTTTTTGTTTTTTTTCTGTGTGATTGTTAAGGTAAGTGTAAAATGACAGTTTTGTTCTCATAAAACAACAGCTCAAATCTCAAAGCTTTTAGCGAATGTGATGTATATACTGTTACCAAAGCACATTAAAGGGCATGTTTTCATTTAACAACACTATTTGTTTATGAAAAAAATATCGTACGTGATTCAGCTCAGGCCAAAAATGAATGCGTCAGATAAATGATCTTTTTGATTTAGGTACTTTGGCAACATTGTTAAAAACGAAGCTGTTTCAAATTATATTTACTGGTAAATTAATGTTGGTGTAAAATATTTGGAAAAAAGGTATGACTTTGTTTTGTCATTGGCAGATGAAAGGGTGTTGGAGGAAAAAAATGACATTCACACAATCCAATCCACCCTCAGACTCAGTTTATGAAGAGATGAAACGGAGCAATTTGGATCCCCAGTCCAATGTGCGGACATTCATCAACCCTGACTATCAATCTACAGTACCAAGGATCTGTGATACTGTGAGATAGTGTAAGATCATTGTTTTAAGTAGAATGAATATGACGTGTCTCTAAATACTGTTGATCAGTAATAATAATTAAAGAAATGCATACTTGTATAATAATAATTGAAATGCAGCAGTTGAAGAGATATTTTTAGCTGACAAAATGTCAAGTGTCCCACTTGTGGTTAAGCTTCTCATGCATCTGCAATGGAACCTATAATGTAATGAGCGTATCTGCAAGCCTCAGTTTGACTGTTATAAAGTAGAGAAGTACATTTTACATCAGAATAAAAGAAATGTCATGGAAAACTTTAATCTAACAATTGAAGAAATTATTGTTATAAAAAATATACTATATTTGACTCTCTGATGTTCATTTCACATTCAACTAGTCACCTTCTTTCAAACGTCGTGGTCATGTTTTCCATTCTATGAAGTCACATGGTTTTTCTTTTGATTAACAATGTTAAAGTTTACTTTAAGTGTGAGCTTAAGTAACCTGCATGCAATTGAAATGCAATGTGTGCTTTTCATTTTTGCATTGGATTTTATTTGGTTATTTTGGTTAAATGAACTGCAGATCATTTACACTGATTACCTGGACTATTTAAACACCACTCACATGCTCTCCGATTGCTGAGACTTTGTTGGCTGTTGCTGCATTTCAAAAACTGTTTATTATTTTTCTTGCCGTGTTTTGAGCCATCCGACTGTCTATATTGTTTCTGATTGTTTGCCGCCCTTCTTACCCATATTTCTTGTATTTGGATTATGCTTAGGATTATCTTTGTATACCATGTTTTGACCCTTTCCAACCTGATTACTCTAATAAAGCTGTATTTGTTTCAGACTACTGTATTCATGTCTCCTTCACAACAAATGTATTATATTAACTAATGATGTAAATACATGTGTTATTACAACAACAGGCGGAAGAAATTTCAACTGCCAGGTTTCTACTTTAGTTAATCATTAGCTATGATTTGCTACGATATCTTTATGATTGACTTTACCTGTTGAGGCACGTAATGTTAAGCAATTGTTGTAAACTAATTACAAAATAGTCAATTGGTTAACAGTCCTGTGTCTCAAAAGTAAAACTGCGGTCATGCTGCACTTTTCTCCCTGTAGACTTCCATTTATACACATGCGAAAGAAGCAGACCAGAAATGCAAGCTCGTGTGGCAAGCTTCTCAGTTTGCTACATTGAACTCTGACCTGCGAAATTGCATCATGTGATTGCGTAAGACCAATCAAAGTTCAAAAAAATTACGTGACAGAAATTTATAATATGGAGCAATCTCTCTTTTTAAATATCCAATCATTTAATTTAATCCCACCCTTTTTCACAGCACCATACAACAGAATTTCGCATGCTCAAACTCGGCATAAAGTCATAACAATATAATACCATAACAAATCATTAGCTAATGATTAAAGCAGACAACTTGAAGTTACATAACATTGACAATTGTGGTAATTAACATATGATATTAGTAACATAATAACATTACAATATTAGTTAAATTATAGTTTATTGGAGAATAATGCATGATTACCTTATTACCAATTTATAAATTAATTACTGCATGAATCATATACAATATTTATTTGTTGCTTGTGCAGTAACAATTAATATATGGTTAAGCTCTTTATTAGTTATTCCAGTGGTTCTCAGTCTTGGTTCTGGAAGTCTGGTGTCCTGCAGTTGTTAGCTCCAAACCTAATCAGACACACCTAGGGTTGCAAATCAAACTTTTAATCTGCGTTCATGCAGAACTTTTCTCCATATAGGCCTCCATTTACATGTACGGGAATGCATCAGACCAGAAATGCAAGCTCCTGCGACAAGTTTCACACTTCGTAACTTTGGAAAGTTCAAGCTTGGTGAACTCTGACCTGCAAAATTACATCATGCGATTGCGTAAAACCAATCGATAAATAGCTAAATAAAACAGTTACTGTTTTATTATTTACTATTTTACAGTTACTGCACAACCTACAGCAAGGGATAACAGTGTTAACTCATGATTATCTGTGCATCAGTTAAGCATTAATTAATGCATATCAGTGCACCCATATTGTAAAGTGTTACCCAACATCCTTTCACCAGAAGTTTTACAACTGGCATAATGATATTCAATGCATATGTTCAATTACACACAAGATTGTAAATTGTGTTGTTATAAATAGGTTATATGCAAGTGTTGTTCAGTCATTGAAATCTTCAGCCTAAATTTTTATGTGACTATTTTCAATTTCATAAGGTTCCTTTTACAGCATCAAAAATGTAGATTTTTATTTAGTTTATCAACAAAAGATAAATAGTGCAATTCCGCCTAGCCTGCTTTACTTAGATGAAGTTGGTTTTAAATTCACATTGGTTAATTTTTAAACAAATGACAACCTGTGGCTACTCCCTATATCGTTTACCATGCTACTTTAAATATTCTGTCTGAAATAGCATGTAAGTATGGCTTGGTAATAACTGCTACTCCTAATTAGCCAACCACTATACAGTAGTCGCTTGAGGACTGTACCATCCACAATTCCAGCGATCCTTTTGTAATCCTTGGCTATAAGATATTAAAATAAAACCCAACTATGCCACCTAGGTTATATTACCCAGGAACATATAAAGAAGCACTTGCTTGATTAACACAAAAAGTTACAACAATATGAGGGACCCTGCTGGGTTTTATTTTAAGACAGAGACGTGACTTACAAAAAAAAAAAAAAAAAAAAAACATTTATTGATTTACACCATCGTATACTCAATATTAAAAACAAATTTAAAATGGTCTCACCACAATTACCAATTAAATAACCACTGTCACAAAGAGACCCCAATAAATGACACCAGAATATAGGTGACACTCTACACAGCAAATCAGTGTTTAAAAATGATTAAAGCAAGTGACAAATTAAACCTATACAATTCAACAAACTCCCCTTTTAATTCAGCATCAACATTACAACATTACCTGTGGATATGCACATAAAATACTTTCACAGGAAACAAACTGCACAAAATCACACAAGATAAAGTTCACAATGCAGCGTAAAGATCAAATTAAATGTGGATGTTAGATCAGGGTCAAAATGGTGACGGCAACGCACCAGCTGTGCAAAAATATATTGTCACCATAATATTTAATGAGTTGTCCAAGAGGAGTAACCACAGCCGAGGACAGTGGTAAATGAGACAAATTTAAAAAGCAGTCACAAATAAATGATATGTAACAACAGCTAGCACCTTCAGGCTGCACCTAAAATGCAAATACAAGACAGATGAAGTTTTTAGTTTTTTTCAATGAACTTTAACTTCTTTAAAACCCACAGACTTCTTACCTCCTAGATGAATTTCATAGGCTAGAGTAGACTTTGTGAATGGCACTCGTCACTTCACGCACACACTTTCCTATTGATAAAGGCATTCTTTAGATTACCATTTAAAACTACCGAAAAACTGAAAGCAAACAACTTACCCGCAGAAGGCAAACAAGGGACTAAAGGAAATGGTATCTGACCACAGAGGCTTCACCTGCACTCAAAAAGTTGCATGTAATGCTCACACAGATGCCTTTTAAAATGCTGAGTATCCACAAGCTCCCAATAATGAGCTGCACAGGTGTACGCAATTAAACTACGTACCGATGCAAGACGGTGTATGCCCCTTATCACCCTAAAATTTTAAAAATAAAACCTGTTACACCAAGGTTATTATAGTTACCTACGAAAACTAACGAAAACTAAAATGTAAAATAATTGTCGTTAACTGAAATAAAAACGAGTTTTTTCAAAAACTCCCAGATAGCAGGCAGTAATCGGCCCGAGCTCGGCTGCCCTCCGGCTCCGACTCGGCATCGTCGAGTGTTATCCGGGCCGAGTGCGGCCCGCAGCTCGCTCGCGCACATGCGGTTGTGATGCGGCTGTAAAGCACTGGCCCGATTCCGGTCAACCATATCCTGGCCGCTTCTGGCAAGGACTCGGCTGATGGCAACCGATTAAGTTCTTATTTTATGTAGTAATCTGTTAGCTCCACGTTTAATGATAATTTGAGAAAATATTCATGGTACGATAGCAAAAAAAAAAAAAAAAAAAAAGAATATTTAGTGTGGATGGTCGCAATGTTTAGACGCAAACAAAACAATATTATTTATAAATAGATTATACATGTCATCTAGAGAAAAACTATGTAAAATTCGCTTATTTTTGAGATAGCACGCTCCTGTGCTGACTGTTTTTTTTTTTAAAGCAGAAGTTGGTTTCATATTGAACACATGCGTTACTAAACTCCTGATCCAAACTCCAATCCAGACGGTGGCGGTAATGCTCCAAAAAGCTGGTTGTCAACCACCATGGCACGAAGATCACAAGAAGAAAAAGTTTGGTTTTTCAAAGATTTCACGTGGATTCCGGTCAGAAAGGTAAGCTTTTTACTGCTTGTGTTCTGTATAATTAGCGAATTTAGAGCTTAAAACATTTCCACGGTGTTTGGTTGTAACAGCGTTTAGTAATTTAAAACAGTTTGATACGAAATTTAACTTACTTTAAGAAACACGACTGGAGCTAATGTATGCTAACGCTAACAGTTACAAACACGTCTGAAAGTTCCTTTTCCTTTTACACAATGTTAGATTGTAACGTGTGTAGTAACTGAAAACTATTTTAATTATTTTAAAGAAACATGAAATGAATTTGTGTGTATGCTAACTTTGCGTTAAAGAAAGTTTCTGTAGACGAATCCATTAACTAACTTGACAAAAGTTTTTTTTCTGATTTTACATTATAAAGTACCGTGGATGTTGAAAAAATCATTGTACAGGCGTATACTTATCCAACAGTATTAATTCTGTGATTATGTGTAAATAAAAACTAATCGTTTTGGATTAATAAAATATTATTGTTTATCTTGTTTATGCAGTTAGTCACGAAAATGATCGAAACTCGACTGTGTACTATTCTCTTTAAATTATCCAAGAGAAATATATTAGTGTGCACTTTAATTCATATGTGTTAGCCTATGTGAATCAATTATATCTTTTGTTCAAGCTGTAATGGTCAGTTAATGTAAAACTGAACGTCTTAAAGCAGATTTTGATGTTTTTTTTTATGTTATTGACAGTGATAAATTCTGATTTAAATGAATGGGTAACAATATTTGTTGGTTAAGTCTTATTGTTCTTGTTTAACAAAGGTTAGTGAGATCATTTTGCAGCACATCACGACCAAAGAAGTCAATGGCACACTCTTTTAAACGTGAATAGGCATGTTATAGTTGTGTGCTAAAAGTCCATTATAAGCTGTAAACTGCTGATACATTTTCAACATAGATTGAGCTTTTCAGACATTACATTACTAATTGCTTCACAAACAGCTGAAATGGTTTATTGTTATTGGCTATCATCATCAAACATTTTTCACAATGGTAGGTTAATCTTCATGGGTACAGAATAATGCATGTGCTTGACCATCTTACAAATCTATGTCTCAGATTCATAAGGCTGTCACTCTGCATGAATCTCCGAATAAATCTTGTGCAACCTTCTGTGTACTGATTATTTACACTATTGGTATTATATGCATTAATTAACTTTGATAGTATTTCAGGATTTGAACTTTTCTTTACGGGAGGTTAACAACAATGTGATGTTTTATTATAGATGCATATGAGGAAGCTCGACTCAAACATCCACACGCAACTGTGATTTCTGACTGGTAGACAGATGAGGATGATGATCGCCTGTCATACATCTAAAGACAGAACAGGTTTGTTTGCAATTATTTTAAACACATACTGTCAACATTATGTCATTGATCTATTACAACCTGTGAGTTTTGCCCTGG